ATCTTTTAAAACACGCCCCCCATCTTCAAAGGGAAGGATACTAATTTTCTTTCGAGTTTAAAAGAAGCTTCCTTTCAAGAAGTGAAAAAAGTTACAATCGAAAAGGAAATTTGCGTTTTAAATCCTCTAATGAAGCTGAGAAGTTTGTAATGGAGGGGCGAAAGGCTGCTACGGACAAATTGGAGAAAAAAAAGCTCAGCCGTTGCCATGAAAATATACGGGTAGGTAGGCACCGAGGATAATGAAAAATACCTAGATAGATATAGGGTTTATAGTCTTAATAATGACATTAAAGGGATGATTGTTAACAACTTACTTTAACAATAACAAACATGCTTCTAACACGTATTTAATTGAATGTAGGAAATTATTACTTAACTGTAAAATAAAAGGTTTAAAAATTGTTTTTGTGTGAATACCTGGTCATCATAATGTTACTGGTAACGAAATAGCGGACAAACTTGCTAAAGATGCGATGGAATGTGGTGATGTTTTCCCTTACAAAAATTTTATACAAGATATCTTATCCCTCCCTAAATCATATTTGTATAAATCGTGGGAAGCAATATGGGATACTTCAAGCCATACTAAAGGAAGAACTCACAAATCTATTCAGGTGTCTATACCTCAGAAACCATGGTTTTTTAGAATGCATTTAAGTAAATATGTTACTACAAGTCTCATTAGAATGCGTTTAGGGCATTTTCGTTCGGCCTCTCATCTTGCTAAACTAGGAGTAGTTGACAGTAGGTTATGTGCTTGTGGTACTGGTGTTGAGGACTTAAACCACATTTTCTTCGAATGCCTCCTCCATGATTGCTCCTCTTTTATTAGTTCTTTAATATCCGCCCCCATATATATTTATATTTTTGTTCAATTAAAATTTTAATATTTTTTACTTAACATAAACTTTTATTTTATACAAAATAGATCAAATGTAATAATTAAAACAAATTTTCATCTTTGTCGAAAGTTTTAATATTTGTAAAAATATTTCTTTCGGCTCGGTTTGGGTGGATTGCCTGAACCTTGAACAAAATACGCTCTGTAGTAGCGAAAAAGTAACAAGTGCTTAAAAAATCCGACAGTCCTGTTCGGTCCTAGGTAGCTCAGTGGTTAGAGCAGTCGCTTGGATTGCGAAAGATCGTGGGTTTGAACTCCATCTCAGAGTGCCAGGGACAAAGTGGATTTTTCAAACATTACTATATTAAAGAGCACGAGAGCACGCATAATATAATTTCTATATTAAAGAGACCGTTTAACAGTTTACGTATTTGAATAAATATTTTTTAGGGTTCCGTACCTAAAAGGTAAAACTCGACTCTATTACTAAGACTCCCGTCTCCGTCTGTCTATCATCAGGCCGTCTCTCATGAACCGTGATAGTTATAGTTGAGATTTTCATGGATGATTTAGTTTCTGTTACTAAAAAAACAAATACTAAAAAACAGAATAAAATAAATGTTATTTTAACTTTATTAAATTCAAAATTATATTTACAGCATTTCATTTATTTATATAGAATATAACGTCACATCAATGATAGACCGCTCCTTATTTCGTCGATGCTGTAATAGTAAAGAGGTATACTTATATCAATAAATATTAAGGGGGCTCCCTTATGACAATTTTTTTTTCTCATTTCCGGTATGGAAACCTTCATGCACAAGTCCACTTGGCCGGTTTATTTTTATTCAAATTATATATATTTATTAATTTTTTCATGTTTTTCTAATTGTAATGAACAAACTGGAGAGACACCACAGAAAAACATTCACCGAAATCTTCGTTTTTATTTTTATGTTAACAAATAAAAGAAGGAAAGGTCGATTTTGTATGCTACCCTAAAATTTGATAGGCATACCTATTATACTAACAGCACATTACCTATATATTCAATACGCTGATAAATTTCCTAAATAAGTAATCAAAAAACAACCAAGCTTTTCGAGACAAAGTAGGCAGTGCCCTTGGTTGGCTCAGTTTTGACGGGCCACTGTCTGGCCCTAGATTTAATTGGTAGGGGTACATAGGTTCCTATTCCCTTCTACAACAACAATAAAATCTATTGTGAAATAAATCTATGGCTGTGTATGATTCTAATGGAGATTGTTACTTTTTCTACGAGACTGCCAACGCCATATAGTGTCACTTAATACACTGTCTTGCTAGTGATGAAAATACGTAGGAAATACTAGTGTTTCAGACAATGTTAGACCGATTAAAGGGGATGTAACCCGGGTAAATTTGAGGTATTAGCAGGTAATATGGGGGTTAGTGTTAGTGCAAATAGCTATTTTTTCTTAAGGTGGCGGCAGAGCCGTCTGGACCTTACCACTTTAGACGCGGGCAAATTGGCCCGTTCTAGATGCCAGCGGACAAATCGATCATTACAATTCATATGTTTTATGAGTTCCCAATGATGAAATATTTATATTTAATATATTGTTTTAAGCTATCATAGTCATTTACAAGGTACATGGTATCAATCCCGCGAAAAACTATCATTCTAATTTTATTAATTAGACTGATTGAAATGCCGATAACGTTTTAAAATTAATTATGACTGCAATAGATAGACAACACTATAATCACTCACTCAGTCGTGCATTCGCCGCTCGATTGGCGCGCGACGTTCATTGCCCGCACCGCGGCACTTCAGAACACTATACAAAACTATCAAGTCGCGCCGAGGTGACAAAATCATCATTATATAATACCTATCTGCACTTATGGTATTATACGAGAACTGGTATTAAAAGAACGAGCTTTACAAATGTCTTCATACACATTATAGGCTACATATTATGGGACGGACATGCTTCAAAAAACTTCAAATGAAATTTGAAAAATATACCCTGCACAAATATGATATTATTAATAAATGCAACAACTTTGAAACGGTTTTATCACGTTTGTATTTTGTTTTATTGAAAAAATATTAATAATATATTCACTTTTCTTGTCGGAATTTGTTTTGCTAGTTCTTCTTAGACAAGAGCCCCAAATTTAGAACTGGTGTTAGGTTACGGTAGCCAGGGGCAAATATATAAGTCAAAAGTATTTAAAATAATGTAATGTAATAAATATAAACGTTTCCATGTTTTTTTTTATATTGTGAATGTGTCCAATAGTATTGTTTTGAAAGGAGCTAAACCCTTAATAAGAAAGACAATCAACAAACCTTAGTCTTATGTAAACACAAAACCTGTAAAGGGTCCGAAACGTCAAAAAAACAAAATATAAACGCGATGAAACCGTTTAAAAGTTGTTTCATTTATGGATAGGGCGCATGAAAATATAAGAAATCAATGAAATTATTAAATCCGACCTCACAGAGAGTAGTGGGGGCGCCATAAGAAAAAAATCTTAGATCCGAGCCTGTGCACCGCCACCGCCACCGCGACCACTGCGGCCTAAGGTATGTATATGCCATTTTGCGAGACAACCATGAAAACATTGTGTTTGCCTTGCGAACCAATTTGAATGAGTTGCCTAGTGGCAAGAGACGAATGTGTATTACCTCCCCTGTATGCGATATTAAAGATGCTTCGAACACTCTGCTCGGTTGGTTACATACAGTCTACACTATGTATAGATGTTAATTGTCAAACAAAATAGGTCTATAAACCCAAATTAAATCCATCCCGAGGCCTCTCTACTAATGATGAAACAAACTGCCTCGCTGCTCTATGTATGTAAATACACGCCTTATTCTTTGACCTAATACAGTTTATGGGTTCAAATGTAAAAAATATAAAGACAGAATATGTTTTGTAACAAAATTTTATTAGTATAAATACTATAAATATATTATACTACAATTTCATTAAAACATTATTATCTTTTAAGAAAGCAAATCGTAATATTACGAAATTATTAAAATAGATATCGATGATGTATGTGCATTTCAAAGAGGAAGAATACATTATTATAATAAAATTCATACAAGAAATGTTTTTTTTTCAAGAGTGTTTCTTCAATAAGCAGATAACTAAGATATTCTCAAAACTGTACATGAAACATACACAACACAATATTTATTATAAATACTATTTACATCTTGAAACAAATACTAACCGAATTATGACGCGCATAATATAAACAAGACAAACGAGAGAAAAATCTTACAATAGAAACTTTTTCTAATTAATTTGAAATAATTTTATTGTATTTGACCAAGTTTTTAAAAGTAATATGGCTCTATTTGTAAAAAAAAAAATTAAAGAGTAAGTACTGCTGCTTCTCAGGATCTATACTCTAGTTTTTAATTAGGTAGACTAAACTGACATTTGATGGGTTGCCATTTTATCGGAAATAAAAAATAGTGTTGGTCTGAGTGATAGGAAGTGATTCATAAATTATGGTTCATTCACTCACATTTCATACATTAGTTTTTAATTTAAAAAATGATATAGAGATTAGTTTAAAACATTTGAGCTTTTTAGGTTTGAGTGTTGAAAGTAGATTTAGAATGTTTAGATAATGGTATAAAAATAAAACGAATTCTTGCAACATTAAAAGAAAAAATGTGAATTAAGCTGTCACTTTAATCCACCTAATTAAAAATTAGTGTATAATTAAACAACACTTCAGATAACATTATAAAAACTGCCTACAAATAAATTTAATAAAACAGTCACTATAATTTTAAGATCACACACTGTGTCCATGTCTCGGACACAATTTAAAAGCGGATCACCCAATGGTGATAACGTAATTTGATAAGCTCAGAACAGGATTTAGGATCAATCATATTTTCGAATGGAAGAACTTGGTGTCCTTAATATTAAAATTTAGAAAATATTACGACAGCATTTTTAAAATACCTATTTAGTATTTTTGAATAATTGTATATTCAGTCCAATTTAAAAAAGAAATAAAGTTTACTTATTTTATTATCATTAAAAATTATAACGAATTTGATTTAACTTGCTTTTTTAAATAACCATACTCCTTGAGCTATTCTCACTTAAAATTCGATTTTTTTATATATTTTTATGTTATAGCAGCTTTTACCAGCATTGTATTATGTGTACATGACTATAGAAAACGATTTCCACGAGGCCTGTTGCTTGAAAACTGGTTTTATTAGACAATCAACGGTGTGGAGGAAATCTTATTAGTTACTGTCTATGTTGTGTTGCCAGCGTACTTATTAGAAATATCTGCATATTTTTGTTCTCAAATGTAATTTACTGTAAAACAGCAGCGTTAGCTATGATAGAAGGGGAATTAATTGTCTCTCCTAAGCTCTCCAACAACTCCTTGCGATAATCGTCAAAGTCACCGTCCACCTGAAAATTAAAAAAATAATGATGCCTTTTCGAACAAAATTTTTCTATTGTTTCCTCATTAGAAACCATCAAATACATAGTTCAGAGTAGTTACGCGCGTTACTGTCATATCAAACATGGATCTCTTCATGATGATAAGATCATGACCTTTAAAGATACAGCGTGTTGTGACCATAGAGTTGTGCGATTTCGGGGTCTTTGCATTTATATCAGACATCGAGAATTTTGGAGGTTACAAGATATGGGAGCTTTGTATATTGGAAGTTATTAGTAATTAAATCGTGGCACAGTTTAAAAAAAAATCTTAGTCGCAACAATGGGAAACTCTCTTTGAGAAGGAGGTATGTCTATTGTACAATGCGTGGTACAGTCAAAAGATCAACAGCAGGACATGTTATACAAATCTGTCAAAATTCTCTAATTGATTTTAAACCTTAATGCTTTGATTGGTAGAGTTTAATTAACTGTAGAAATTTGATATATATAGCCGTGTCTTGTAAACACGTTAATTCCAGTATAAAGTTATTAATAATACTATATTCTAATATTCCATCAGTTACCTCATTGATAGTTTGGTCCTCTATAACGTATAGTGCGCAATCAGTCTCTCGTATTAGCCGTTCGTCGTGGGATACTATTACCACGCCTCCTTTGTAGTCATTGATGGCGTCCGCGAGCGCGTCTATACTCTCTATGTCTAAATTGTTCGTCGGTTCATCCTGTGTTCAAAATAACAGTTAAATATCAGTATTTACTTGTACGCGAAATGAAAATAAATATGTACACAGTTTTTCTAATTCTGATTAAATAAGTAACTGGTGAAACGAATATGCGTTACGATAATATCTCTCTGACATATTTTTAGGAATCTTTGACATTGATTTATCATCAGCCTATTAATATCCCCATAACTGGAATATATGCCTTTCTTGCAGATTTTGCCTTTATTTTTTTACAGATGCCTCAATTATGTAAAATAGTAGGAACATCTATATTACTGCATACGATTTTCGAAAAATACACTTACAATACAGGGTTACTTGTAAAACACTAACAACGTCACAAGACTATCTGGTCCTAATAATAACGTTGTATGGTTGTCTTTTGATAAATCGATTCATTGTTTTCATATGAAAATAAATTATAACTTCATTTAATACTTGAATGTTAATAATCTACGCGTGACGAGTTATGTTAATTAAATTAAATTAACATAATTTCGGTACGTATTCTATTTATCCTTGAACGACAATTCGGAAAATTTAGAATCTTTCTTATAATCTTGTTAAAATCATATCCGTAAAGATTATAATGTGCATCAGAGACAGTATCTTTCTTACGGAGGTATCATTTGAGTTTCTTTGGAGTTGTACAAGCATTTCGAAAATCGTCGAAAATTCGTTTTCAGATATATAGAATAGTCCTTCCAGTGCCATGTTTACTCGTAAGTTAAACAGTACTTCAAACAGCACAAAACGAGGCGTCATTCTATATTAATATAACATAGACCTATAAATGACATGACAGCGCAAAAAAGAAAATATTTTGTTTAAAGTGTTGAACTATGATTATACTTTGAATATCAAACAATGTTTGACATTATGTAGCTATCTAGTCCTCCAAGGTTTGGTCCTCCAAATAACCCTGTATACTAAAGACTTTTAGATGTATCGATGTATCTGCTTTTATCGATATCCCGTAAAATTGAAGGAAATATATGTGGAAAGTATATGTACATGCATACATACACGAGAATCACGTACAACTTTACTCAGGAGAATTTAAACTAACTTGATATATTCTTAGTAAATAACTTCAAAAAGTATAAACTATGAGGTTTCCGCCAGTGGCTTCGCCCTCGTAATCCTGCATTATACATATAAATCTTCCTCTAGAATAACTTTGTATACTAACGAAAACCGCTTAAAATCCGTTGTAGTATAAAGATCTCAGTACACAGACAGCGGGAAGCGACTTTATTTTATACTGTGTATAGATGTACAAAGTACGTTTCTAATCATTCATTCGCTTACCAATATAACGACGTCCGGCGCCATAAGAGTTAGTTCGGCCAAAGCGACTCTCGCCTTCTGCCCTCCACTGAGATCTTTCATCTTGATAGTATGCGCGTGACTAGCGAGACCGAATGTGCCCAACGCTTTACGTGCCTTTTCGTACTGTAGACCAAATAACCGCTGCAAATATTCCACAGGCGACTCCTCCGCTGTCAAATGTTCACCGGAGTGCTGATCGAATCGACCTATCCTCTGTCATGTAACAAAATAAATGGCGTTCATTTAAGTGTCTAGTGAGTTTAATCGTTCCCTCTTCTTATCAGCCAAAAAAAGTCCTAAACGATATGAATAGATAAGAATAGAATTAAATCAAAATACTTGATTTTTTTTACAATTTAATTGAATAATTGTCTCAGTTCCATTCTGGTACAATGATATAGTTGGTATAATGAAATGATTCCTATACTAATAGAACACACAGTAGCAAATCAGATTGCCACTATTTTCCGATTTTCTGTAATCAATTCTGATATGAAAAATTTGTTAATTCTGCTTTAGACAAAAACAATTCGTCAGTCCTATTAGGTCCTGGGTAACTCAGTGATTAAAGCAGTCAGATTGCAAAAGAGTTTGGAGTCCCATCTCAGCGTGCCAGGGACAAAGTGGATTCTTTAAATATTTTTAATGAAGAATATTTTTCAGTGTAGCATTTTGAATGCAAAATTAATCAAATATAATGCAAAAGCACTTACCAGTCTATGATTTCTAATTAGCTCTCCGCGAATAGGACTCAATTCGCCGACCAACAATTTCAAGAAGGTTGATTTGCCGACACCGTTGGGTCCAACTATGGCAATACGGGAACTTAGGTCTATGCCAAAGTCCACACCTTTGAACAACGGCTTCTGACCGGGGAAATTAAAGTCAACGGCTGAAAAAAAAATCTAAATTAAACAGTGAACGTACACGCACTGCAAACGTATACGCCATCTAATACACAAGATAGAGAATAAAATATTAACTTTGAGGTAATTTCGTAATTTAACTAATGGCGGTTATTTTATTATTATAACATAAATATATTATTATAGATTCAATAAGTCATAAGGGGCCATCCATAAATTACGTCACACGTTAGGAGGGGGGGGGGGTCAACGAACTGTGACATTAGAACAATATTTAGTAGAATTTGTATAGACAAACATGTGACAGGAGGGGTTTAAAAAAATCATGAATTTTGTGTGACGTAATTTATGGACGGCCCCTAACTATTAAATTCGTTTGTAATTTAATATGTTGAAGATCTTAAGATATTTACAGATGTGACCGACGGGAGTCAGTGCATAACACTTTAAAATGATGTTAAGATTATTACAGAGTTGTGCCAATTCAATAATATGTATCTTAACGCGGTTAAGTGTTGTATCATTTCTTTTACTCGGTGGAGGATAGGTTAGACCAGTGATTCCCTAAGTGGTCCAGGTGGTCCACGAGGGATTCAATGGGGGTCTACGGGGGCGTGAAATAAATCTAATTTCCATCGTTAGATCTTCACATTTTGGACGTATTTTGAGAATATGGTAAAAATGTAGCAGCAGGGGGTCCACCGAAACCAATAAATTTTTTAAAATGGTCTACTAGAAAAAAATTTTTGGGAATCTCTGGCTTAGACCAATCTATCACTTAAATAATAACAATTTAACGAGAAAAACAAGTGTTAGGGATCTGGGTGTCAATTTTGATGAAGTCTTTCTGTCTTTCATATTATGAAAATATTATAGCCATCGACTGTCAGGCTTTATAATGAGGTCTACAAATCTTTTAAGAGTCCTTATAGCACTTTGAGTCTGTTTTCAGTTTAGAGAGAAGTGTCTTAGAGTATTGTTCTCCTGTGTGGTCTCATTATTATAAGGTTCACATAGATAGTCTGGAGAGTTCAGAGGAGGAGGTGCCTGAAATATATTTCATGCAAGCATAACCTTTTTTTTTAACGCAGGGGAAATGCACCTTAAGTCTTAAACCAGGGCTCGTCTTCCACCCCGCCCTTAAAAGGGCAGGTTAGTGTGGAAGCCCTACCTGGTAAAACCCGCTGCGGTTCACCTCACGCGAATGGATGAGTCCGGTATCCAGCAAGGAGGGCCCAGAATGCAAGCATAACCTAGGTCGGACTCTGGGTAGTTACTCTCAAACTTGGATAAACAAACTTGGATAAGGTTCGGTGTAATATCCTTGGAGACCAGGCGTAGAAGACACGACCTACTGGACCTTCATAAATTACTACATGCTTACATTAATGCACCGGATCTCCTAGCATCAGTGAGTATTAATACGAGACAGATCGCGCCATCCATTATTTGTAATGTAGGTATACAAAAATAATATGGCGTTTTACAACCCTCTAGTTAGAATGTGTTGTACATTAAATGATATTTCTCGTAGTAGTAAAGACACTGCAATCGACATCTTTGATCATAAAGCCTCCAGATATTATAAAAAGGTTATAACTAACTTTCTTAAAGACCATGTTCGTCTTCACCTACGAAATATATGTATGTATACAAGAAAACATTACGATTCCTTCACAAAAAAAAGTAGTGTTCATAATCTTAACACAAGAAATAAAGATAAACTTGCCGTTCCAAGCTTCAGACTTCAAAAAACCAGAGGATCATTTCTGGGTAAATGTATTGCTATGTTCAATAAAGTTCCACAAAATGTAATTGACCTACCCATAAATAAATTTCAAATTCATGTAAAGAATATACTTGTGAGTAAAGGCTATTATAAAGTTGATGATTATTTTAAGGATCGCAATGCATGGAATTAATAGCCTTCGCTTTGTTCTATAAAGACTAATTATATGTTCAACTTATGTCCTACAGACTTTGAAAGTTGTATTTACTATTGTGATAAATTGATAATACATATTATTTTGGTAATGACATGATTTATGTAAATGTCATTACTTATGATAAAAAGCTGATAAGTTTCTTTCGCTTGTTCTTCTTGTCAGCTAAAAGACGTCCTGAACAAGTGGTAGGGGAAAAAAGTTTTTTGGACGATTCAAAAGTGCTTGTAATAGCCTACTTGAATAAAGATATTTTCATTTCATTTCATTTCATTTCAAATAATCCTCTTTATATAAGTCTTAAGATAGCGTTAGTTAGTTTTAATTACTAGGGTTGTATAGACCGTCCTCAGAAAAATTGTTAGTCAATCATGCTATGTACACTAATTTTGGATTGTTGTCTAGTCTAAATAATCTGATATATTTGTCGAAGTCATGTTGTTGACTGTAATCTGTAAGTGTACCTACTTTAAATAAATACAGAAATTATTTAAAAAATGGTCAGTAGGAACATAAATCTTATCTTGGGGCACATGCCCCATACATTTTGGAGAAGAATATAAAAACACTAATTTTTTGTGTATGCTTACTATGTAGACCAAGAATAGGCGGTTGCAGAGGCGGCGGATCAGGGAAGGAGAACTTGACAACGTATTCTTTAGGCTTCTGCAGCAAAGTGACGGGCTGGGAATCCTCATCGTTTTCATCACGAGTTGATTTTCTATTCTTCTCTTGTTTCCTGGTCAGAGCTTCTTTTTGTTTCTTTTCCTACAAACAATTAAGCTGAAGTAACATTACGAAAGCAGTTGCATGAGACTATTTTTATTGTATTCATTTCGGATGTCCACTGTCGCAATACACACATTACTTTCACGACAATATAGGAGTATCATGAGATGTTATGCGCGGGAAGTGGTCCTGTTGGGGACCGTTACCGCGCGCTGATCCCCCGCAGTGAGGGACATCGCTGAGTTTTAGTGGGTATACCCCTGCTCTTTGAGCCCCACTCTGGGGTTGGTCCGCAGGGGAGAGTCCCACATAATCCGTGGAGCTCGCGCAGGGTGAAACGGGTATGCGTAACGCATTTCACAGCGTCAAAAAAAAAAAGAAGGATCGTGAGATGCGCGTATTTTTTATGAAACTAGTATCACGCAATTTTACAGAACAAAATTATTGTCGTGACACCATCTGCGCAGTGTCTCATAGATATGCCATTACAAAAGTAGTTTCAAATGTGCAGAAATTAGTTTCATATGTGTGACTATTTTAGTAATTAAATTGGGTTTAATATTCGCAGTATATAACAATTCATAATCATCCTAAATAGCCTAATCAGGCCTACCAACCCGGCACCATGCAATCTAACAATATTATCTTCACTATTTACATTTACACTACAGACTTTCCTTGTTGGACAGTCACATAAAAAAGAGGCTATAATTCAACACACAGAAAAATAACTTATAACATGCTCTCAAAGAAGAGCTCATAAAAATTCATTGACCAACCAACCTATGACGGTCAGAGGTGATACACAAGTTGCCACTCCATTAAATTCAAATTGAACTAACTAAGCACAACGTTAACAAGCTCCTTAGAGAAAATTGCTGGATAAATTCAAAAACTGCAAATGCATTCGGGAACAAATGTATAACATGTATTCTGAAGTCCATAGGAACTAAATATAGTTAGATAATGATTTTTACATACTGCCTGTTTCTTTGACTGTCCATGTGCTTTTAAGTCCTTCAATCTCTTCTCTTGCTTTTCATATTCCTTTATCATCTCTTTCCTCTTTTGAGCATACATTTTCTTGAACATTGAATAGTTGCCCTTATAATAGAAGAGTTTTTGTTGATCTAAGTGAATGATTTCGTTACAAACATTATCCAAAAACGATTGATCGTGAGATACTATGAGTAGAGTTTTCTTCCAGCCCTGAAGATAACTAAAATCAATTTTAAGTGGTGTTTTTTTTATATAAATAATAATACTTTATACTATCATTATAAAAAATATTATCACTAACGGACAGTTATTAGTTTGAATAATACTTACTTATCCAACCAAATGACAGCGTTCAAATCTAAATGATTAGTTGGCTCATCAAGTAGAAGCAGAGTAGGTTCTATGTAAAGTGCTCTGTAAATAAAATTATCAAAATTACTAATTGTAAAACCAGTATTTCGTGATCTTTGTGTCTGTAAAAAAAATAAAATTAACAAACATAATAACATTAGTGTTTCTACCAATCAATAGGGAATATGCGTCTGATTCAAAAAAAGGTTAAATATATTTTATTACAATCGTTATTGCTTTAGAATAAAGTCTATCTAAATATTTTTTAATATTAGTTCGTTTTCGTCTTGAAAATAATTATTAAAAAGTGTAAATTAAATGCGGTAACTTCAAAATATTTAAACGCCATGCTACTTGTCAGAGCGGATGTGACGAAAATGTGCACGTATGGGGATGTCGTTGTTACAAAAAGTTAACATGGATGCAATAACATCAATGTAATTTGTCGCAAAATAAACAACTGATTACAATATAAATGATGTTTTAGGCTTTTATTTTTATTTCTCCAATTTAGTAACTTATATGATTTATTAAAAAAATCTATTATACTTTAAAAAATCGATTAGTTGTTAATCGATTTAGGTAATTGAATAATAATCAATCACTCAAAATCCACATTGATTTAAAATGTCATATCTCTAGTCGTGTACTTTGACGTCACGACGAGCGCGCCAAAAATTCCGGTGTTTAAACTGCTCGTAACTATTACTTATTTTCATTAATTATTAATGTTACAGAATTTTAGTTTTTCGGTGCCGGGTATTTTTTTTTTACAGTTATATATCGATGTAAATTATCATATAAAACCATTTTCCAAAAGTGGGCATATTCCCTATTGGACTTTTGTTAGAAGTAGCACATTGATGTGTTATCAAAACTTTCAGCTCACCTAGCCAGTGATACTCTCATACGCCAACCACCAGAAAAGTTCTTCGTAGCCCTGTCTTGCATTTCCTTACTAAAACCAAGACCAGCTAAAATACGTCGCGCTCGTGGCTCTGCTGAATCAGCGCCGATTGCCTTTAATTCAGCATACACCTAAAAAAATATGAATACTATTAGGGAAATTTTGATTTAGTTGGCGTATAACATAACCTAGAAGCTGCACTTTTTTTCATATTACTTTTTTGAGTCGAATTTATGGTCCTGATAAAAGTACTTAAAAAAAGTGAAAAATAACACTTATCTCAAAAGCGACTTATTCAAGAAAACGCTGTTAAAGTCGTGCGGATTCTGTAGGTTATTCGTTCATTTATAGGCACCCGACTTCAATACGATTTTCTTGAATAAGTCGCTTTTAAGATGTTTTACATCGGTTCTATTTTTGAAAAAGTTTTTATTACTTGATTGTTAATGATATTGTATTTTTGATATAATAAGTAACACTAAAAATACTTTTCTGAAAACCGCGATAAAGACGTGTTAAATTGCGACCATCCATAATCAGGGTTCAGATTGATAATTATCATTGATAATTATCTTAATAAATATACCTTGATAATTTATACACAAAACTATACACTACACAAAATCTTTTTATACTTTAGGACTTGTTAATAAACGGGCATCATCTTTAAACAACTATCAAATATGTTCTTCTGATAGGGAAAATTGTCTATGATGGACCTATAAAACAAATGAAAAAATTATCAAATGTTTTTCAGATACTTATCCAAAAAACCTATGATCTTGATAATTACGAACCCTGCCATACATTTTTCGCACGAATTTCATAATGTTGTGTATTAATTAAATTCAACTTGTACCGTTAACTAAAACGTACCTCATTTAATCTGTCTTGTTTATTCAAGCTTCCGTTTTCAATTTCAGCTTCAAGTTTCTTGCATTCATTTAGTAATTCTAAAAAATAACAATATTACCTTTAAACGTAACTCAAACAATATCAGTAAGCGTGTACGTACTAACCGTTCGCTTTGAGTTGGGCGTCAACGGGCATTATTAACTGACATCATAGGTCAGGGGTTAGCAACCTTAGGAGATGAAAAACCAAAAGCACAATATACAAAATTTGGATTTTTAAAGAGCCATTGACAATTTCGTATCTATATATATAAAAATGAATCGCAAAATGTGTTGGTAAGCGCATAACTCAACAACGCCTCGACCAATTTGCCCAAATCTTTTTTTAAAATGTTCGTTGAAGTTCAAGGATGGTTTTTACGGCGAGAAAAATTAGAATTATTGCTGGAAAAACCCTAAAAATAGCCCTTTTCTTTTTCCCATACAAATGATTTGTAACTAAAACGTAGTCAATTTGAGCTTTATTGCTATGGTATAAAGTTCATATTAAATTACAAGCACTCACTGTTGTCTAAGCAATGTAGGTGTGTTCCTAACGTCAAAGATCATATCTATCAAAACAATGTGCGTGTGTGCGTTGGAGCACAGAATACATAGTTGGAGGAGTTTAATGTCGCGTTCCGAAACTCGCGTTTCTTTTGTATTAGTTTCGGCACGCGAGATAAAATGCATCAGTTTCCACGTCATTACATGTATTGCCGGAACATTGATGAAAATACGCTCTGTAGTAGCAAAGCTGTTGGGTCCTAGATAGCTCATTGGTTAGAGCAGTCCCTGGATCGCGAATGGGTTCGAGTCCCATTCCGAGGTACAGGTAGATGGATTCTTCCAGCATTTTTCCTTGAGAATGTTTATATATTTTTTTAATTCGAATAGTTTACTTTTATAATGCTGTTGTGTGTAATGTGCTTTTATGATCATAAAAACTCTTTTTTCTATATTTAATACTATTACTATTAATACATTGCAATAATAATTATGATTCACATGATTAACAGTAAAGCGATTACTTACTTTTAACATCCTTATATATGTTTTATTTAATTAGTTTTTATTCACAACGCCCTATCACCAGGGTGACGGTTCTGTTCAGGAGAATTTTTTTAAATACGTAGGCAAAAAAACTGCACACATATACAAAATTTGGCTTTTTAAAGAGCCATGGACGAAGTCTGTCGGGTCAGCTAGTTAGTAATATTATTCACATATTTTTTAGGTTTTATTTAAAATAAACTATCTCTCATTAATAGTCAGTATATGTCAATCGTACTATATTATACATGATTCAACTATTGATAAATTTCACTATTTAAAAGGTTTTGACAATAAAATAATTATTTTGTAAATAAAATTAAGAACCGTAACTTTACATGCGGCACGCAAGACACAGTTTGCCAGCTTCTTTCATATGCACATCAACTGGTACCGTCGACAAAGAATTATTAACTTTTATTTTCGGCATAACATACAGTTGGTTGAAGAGGAATTAATGTTGATATTAATAACTATTCATATAAAAATACAGCAGAAATAATACCGGAAGGGACAGACGTACGCGATAGCCTTTAGGGTTTGTTTGGATGTGCGGTGCAGTGAAGCAGCTAACTCGAAGCGACCGGCTAGTACATAGAAAGAATAACATAAGCATACCCGTTCTTTTTACGTCCGATTCTAGAAGAGTATCAACGGCGCTCATGTCAGTTGCAGTAACTTCTTGTTCACAAAGCAAAATATCTATATGCGGAGGAAGAGGGAAAGCCCTTTGGGCAAGATGCCTCAGCAGTGTTGTCTTGCCGTGACCGTTGGGCCCCACCAGACCATAACGTCGACCGTTTGCAATCAACAAGTTTGCGTTCACAAACAAATCTTTTCCTTTAGCGCTGATTGAGAAATTCTCTACTTTTATATCGACGGCATTTTCAAGAGCTGCCATTTGACCTGAAAAATATATTATTATTCTTAAGACCGTTTATCTCGTTTCACGCTATTAGTGACAATTTCGATACTTTTCGAGCGCCTTATAAATAATGAAAGACTTACTCAAAAAAATTTAAACATTACCTATATGTGTGATTTTTCCATATCAGAAATGAGCATTTTCATTCATTAATCTTGTTTTATTTACAATATAATAATGATGTAAATGAAGTTAAGTTAATATTCTTTCAAATTAAAGTTAGAAATTTTCAATTAATAACCACAATTATACTTTTTTTTTTAAACTACTAGAAACACGATGCGCAAGCCGTTTCAAATCAGACGCCGTCAGGCTTTGCCGAGGTGGAACCTCTCTCGATATGCTCTTCGTTTGAACTCTCTTGATATTTGTTTCTTTTGCTAAATTCTAATACATTAGTGTCTAGACTTAATGTATTAACACTGTCTAATTACTTAGGCAGGTAACATTTTAAATGTAAGTATTAGTTATGGAAATTTATACTAGTTCTGATGAACTTTATTTAAATATATTTTAATTTTTACCCTACGATGCAAAAAAGTGGTGTTACAAGTTTTACCAGTATGTGTGTCTGTCTGTGACATTAAAGGTGAAAAAACGAGTGAACCGATTAGGATTCTGGTTGGAATGCATCTTTTCTGGTGTTGGTTAGAAATGTTTTATCTGAATGGCAATAGCAAAATTATGGAGTGAAAGTGGGTATGAAGAATGTAATATTGTCAAAAATGCCTGATTTTAGGTCTATTAAGTATTTATTTCTTTTTTCGGCTTATTAGTGAGTGAACGTGTAACTTTTTCAACCAATGGTGGCACTTTACCTGACTATTCGCAAAAAAACTTATTCTATACTTGACAAAAAATTGGTTGGTTTTACGTAACGAGCCATAATCTCGCTGACCCAGTGCGGAATGGAGATATTTAAATCTGTAGATGCAGCTTAGAGACCAACAGCTTAACGTACTTTCGTAAGCACAAAGAAGCCAGATATAATAATTTTTGGTCACCCATCTTATGACCGGCCCTTTCGAAAGTTGTTTATGAAAGCTGCATGGCAGACTGAGTGGTGGCTTAGTAGAATCCCCTTTCTTTAGAAAATTCGTGCAAGAAGAATTATACCAATAACAGCAAAGCGTGACTGATATTGAATGAAAATAAAATAAAAAAATAATTTAGTAATCACTGTTTCTTTTGACATATCGGAACCTAAAACAAGAATAATAAATAATGATGAAATATCGTCTCTAAATATTAATTAAGCTCCAATGGATCAACATGAGTTGGTCACACTATAAACATCAACTAGAGCGACGTGCGAGCGAGTAATTACCTAAACTCAACTCTTAAGACAATGATTCCTTGGTATACTAAGTTTTAACGACTATTCTAAATCCCAACCTGCTGATTTCTGAGCCTGACTAACAGTAAAGTTAGCATCTAGCTCACTGTGGCCCTGTCCTCCTTTCTTAGTTAACATCTCTACTTGCTTCTCATATTCTTGCTGTTTCTTCAATTTTTTCTTCTCTTTATGACTTAGTTTCTTCTCAGCTGGCTCAGCAATCTCCTTGTCAGGCATCTCTGATACCTTCAAATACATATCAAAGTAATTAATATAAATTCATAAACAAAAACTATGAACCTTTTATCAATATCATCAAATTACAGATATTTATATAAATACTATATTAAAATTTAACAAGCCTTTAGAACTTACACTATGACATTGGCTTTGTTGCATCTCTAGACATTTTAGCCAATGTCTTGCATAACAAAGAATGCAAAATAAAATTTAGAAGCATTAAAAAACGTATTTGCGAGTGTAAAATATAAAGTTACCTTGTCTTCAGCTTCAGTTGATGCTTCATCTCCTGCTATATTCCCTTCTTCAGGATCATCCTTTTTATTTTTTTTGTTATCCTAGAATAACTTAATGTATTATTAATGGTTCAAATGAAATGAAAAATATAAAATGCAAATTAATAAGTACCTTTGACTTTTTAGGAACCTCCTCTGGTTCAGGATCTTTCATCTCAAATTTTTTCAGTTCAGCTTCTATATCATCCATATTATTTTTCTTTTTGTTTTTTCCTGTAATAAAAATTATTTACCCTATTGAGTATCAAATAAATGCAAATATATTGTAGTAGAAAACATTATTTTTCTAGATGTTTCTCTTGTAATCTCATTTTTATTCGATCTACAAATAATAGGAGCTGATGATGAAAATCTCTGTCACTTGCTAATTGATAATGATAACATACATGAAGTTTAATAGTCAAGCAAATAAGGCCGGTTTAATAGTCAAGCTTAAATGTCTTGCATAGCACTCTTTTAGTCATGAGTCAGTCTCTAGTATGCGTGACAGTCCTGTATATTGGAGGCAAGGCGCGCGGGCCTTATATCTACATATACGTAGAAACAAATTTAATATCACATGAAATGTAATGTTACATAATTTTCCAGTATCAATATGTAAGTTGATCACACAAAGCTGGTAGTGAAATGTGAATTATATTTAATAGTCTAAAAAATGGAAATATACTCGTTCATAATAATTACCTTTACTCTTGACTATCAATTCGGGAAGTTCTTCATCATCTGAAAACTGCTTCTTAACATCTTTGTCACTTTCTTCATCAGGCCAGTCATCTTTTGCATTTTTACCTTTTAGAAGAGTACATTAAATAAATAAAAAACATAATGTCTTCATTAAAATACAATTAATTGAGTTTGTGTCATCAATAATAATAATAATAATAATTTATTTTGCTAGAAACATGGTTACATAGATGTTAGAATAGAGTACACTGGTCAGCATGTTTCGCTAAATATTCAGCATGCAAAATAAAGAATACTTGCAAATGTAGAAAAATATATATTTTTAATAATAGAGAAGAAATCAAGGATAACTATAGATTGGGAGGTGTGAGTAAGGAAAGTTTGATAAGTTAAGTTAAATATTAGAAAAGTGTTGGTGAAATGGCTTCATCAAACAAGAGCTTCAAATCTGCTACATTATGTCTCACCTTGCTACAGTAGTGAAAAAATGCGAGTGTCTGAGCAAACTTTGTAATATCCTTGTTATTTGTATGTTTATGTAAATAGGTGTAATAATGAAAGAAACATTTTATGTAACAAATTTAATGCCATATTTATTTAATTAAATTATTTTAAATTATTTCTCTTACTTTTTTCAAAGCATAAATATTTTCCAAATTTAATGTATCTAATAAAATTTATGTTGTTATAAATTTGCAACTTGAAATGGTTCATATTTTTTAAACATATAACCAGTGGTCGGAATTAGGTAGAGTTATTCATGTACTTACACTGATTTCATACAGCGAAAGAATAAAGTGGATATGCCTCAAATCCCGAGATTAATTTTAAAGAGCAGAAAAAATCCCATGATTTTTTAAATAAAAAGTTATTTACTTTTACACAATTTAAACTATTGCACGCACGACGTTGCCAAACTTACATCAATGACATTGGATGTCCAAAGTTGCAAAATATCAATACGCGCTATGTAAACTAATAAAAATTTTATGTTAATTATCTTTGTTTTATTTGTCTATCTCTGACATTGTTATTATTATTTAGTTGTAAGATTGTTGGCCACACGGGATTGGCCATTAGCAATCCCAGGAAGGTCCACATTATTATCAACATTTCGATGCAAGTACATAAATAACTCTACCTAATTCCGACCTCTGCATATAACAGAAAAATGTTTTTTACTTGTATGACATAACCCTATTAAAAATGATTGCTCGTAGTCTAAACCTTACAGGAAATAAAACAAGATTTCTATGGGAGTAATAGATTAACATACCCTTTTTGTTTTTTGATTTGATTGTTTCTTTAACCATAGTATTTGAGATGTCGGTAGAAACAGGAATCGGAGCTTCATCTTCTTCCGCACCAGATGATTCACTAGCAACACTTTTCTTTTTATTTTTGGCTATAAATGTGATTAAAATTAAAGTTATAGAATAAATTTAAAATAAAATATAAAGTCATCTTTCTAAGTTATTTAACTCACATTTCTTTTTTGTTACAGGTTTGATTATTTCATCATCAGAGACATCTTTTAATTCTATATCGCTCCCATCATTTGACCAATCATCATCCTTCTTGCCTTTACCTAATGAACAATATTGTTATTACTTAATTATAGTAACCAACAAAAAAATCTTTAGCTTATTACTAGTTAAAATTACAGTTGTTTATGTGAAATTTGAGAATAAGTACCATGCTGACTTCAATATTAACTATAATACATTGCACCATCTGCATTCTTTGCATAGTAAAACAATATCTTCAACCAGTGAAGCTTGAATGCTTATAGTTAACAGTTAAAGTTATAACATCATCTAACCATTGCCAAATGGTGCAACTGGTAGTACTTTAACATATTTGTTATATACTAAAGTAAGTAAGTTGGTGGAACCGACCCCTACCCTTTTTCTTTTTATTTGCTTTTGATGTGGATTTTGATGCAGTACTTGTAGTGTTATTGCTCACAACAGATTTGTTGTCATCATCCTCTTCTTCTGACAATTCAACACCCTTTTTTTTGTTCTTACCTGCTAAATATTCAAATTAGTATTAGTATATCTAAATGCCAGCACATATGTTTCTGATTTACAATTTATCGTCACACAAACCTTTTTTCTGGGATTTCTTAGCTGTCGATTTAGGTATATCTACTTCGTCGGATACAGATTTCTTAGGTATCTCTTCATCGCTATCACTCCAATCCCCAGCATTTCCTTTACCTTTCTTTTTACCTCTGCCTCTAGTTTTAGAGGTTATATCATTTAAATCATTTCCTTTTTTCTCTTCAAATTCCTCGTCAAAGTCTTGGTTCTTTTTATTGCCCTTCTTTTTAGACATATTTAAATTCTAAAATATTAAACTTGATCTAAAGCAAAACAAAGTCTTGTCAGCCAACTCACCGAATTTTAATTTCGTAATTTAGATTCGTTTTCGTATAGCTTTTCTTGACTTTATTAATTGAATGACAGATAGATGTCATAAAATTACTTCGAAAAAAAGAACAAGCTAAGGAAAGTAACATCTATCCGCCAAAACACACGTAAGATCAATCTGCCAAAAAACACATTTCTCTATGGTGTTATAAAGAATGTTATGTTCAAGCCAAGTTCAAGCGTTTTCTTTTATTATATTTAATGAGGTAGAATAATATTATGGTTATACTGAATCAATGTAGCGATTCGATCAAATCGTTATGTGTTGACAGATAACCCACTCATGATCTACTTCGATCGCACTATCTGTTTAATACGTAAGGTCTGGTGTTATTAAGGATTGTTATGTTCAAGGGTTTTCTTTTGTTATATTTAATGAGGTAGAATATTATAATGGTTGTACTGGATCAATGTAGCGATTCAGTCAAATCACAGATTTTACTGTGTCGTTGCTACTCAAAGCTCAAGATCGCTACACACTACTGCGGCAAACAATGGTGTAAACACGGTGATGTTTTTATATAAGAAACCTCTTGGATAACATTCTATTTTTATTCCTTTCGTACAGGATCACGGAAAAGTCTACCCGAAAGAGGTAATATGTTAATAGCAAGAAGATTATAAAAATTTCTATATAAACTTCTTGGTTCGTAGAACCCACGCTAAATTCACGAAACACTTTCATATGAATTTAATGAATTTATCACTTTTCGTATTCTATGCAAAATGTAAAAAAAAATCTGAGCAGTAAAACCAGATGATATAATTTGAAAGATAATTAAAGTAGTCTGTAGTGTGAAAATAATTGAACCTATTTTTATCAAAAAAGTGACTGGCACTAACTCTACTCAAAGTATAAAAAAAGAAGATCATAAAATGAAAGAAGTGAAAAAAGAACTATAAATTTTCTTTGTAGCAGAACAATTTTTTTGAAGATGAATGGTAAAAACGGAATTTTACGTTTTCTTCTTCTGATGATTTTAATTTATTTACATATAGATGTTATTACTTGTGATAATGTGAAGAAAAGTGTCGAAAACGACAACAGAGAAGACAATGGCGATAATGACGATAGCAACGTAGATTCACTGGACATACCCTCCGATAATGAAACAAATAATATTACGTGTACGAGAAGACAAAATAGTCAAATGCACGAAATAACTGCTGCCAAACACAAACAGTTTCCATTTATGGCAGCAATTATGTCAAAACAGAATGAATATTTGTGTTCCGGTTCAGTAGTTTCGAATGGATTAATTTTGACTACTGCAACATGCACGCTACTACCTACAGGCTATGTATTGCTTAATACAACTAAAGGTAAAAATGATGAAACTTCTGTCGTACTCCAAGTACGGAAAAGTGAGAAATATCCAACGTACACAGGAAGTGAAAATGACAAGAATGTCGGCCTTCTTTATACAGATAAACATAATAATTCTATTGCTTCAAAAATAAAATTAACTAATATGAGCAGTGTGAGCAGTATTGTCGATTTTGAAGGTATCGGATTTGGTTTAAATGCTGACGTTGGTCAAGTTAAAGAATTGCAATATGTTGGCATGGAACACCGGTCACATTACGAACCCGCTGAGGCAATGCATGCGTATTTTGACTGTGTTGAAACCAAAGTTTCTACTTGTTATAGGGACACAGGTGGTCCAGTGATTGTTAATAATGAACTCGTTGGTATTGTAACAAAAGGTCAGGATGATTGTACTAAGGAAATATCTTCCACTTATGCTATTAACAAAAAAATGGCAGATATTTTACCAACTTTTGCTTTCAAAGCTTGGCTAGATGAGAAAATTCGAAAAAACGAAGAACAAGAACAAGTTTCTCTTGCAACATATCCTATTAAGCCGGACTTGCGTGAAAATATATATAAATTGACTAAAAGTAGTGAACCTCTGTGTCATCCTCCTTCATTATCTGTTGTTATTATTATGTTTGTTAATCTATTACTATTACTTTAAATTATTAAGACTGTTGGATGGAAATGTACACATCCCACAATCGGTACAAATTTTTGTTTCTCTAACAATAAAAGTATTGATGTTTTACTTGTCATTCTTTTACCTTAAGTAGGCAAGGGCCACAAATTTCAATTTCTTTTTTTACATACGATTGAAAGTTGTTTTTTAGAAGTCATAAAATTCTTGAGAGATGGAATAAGAAAAATGCAGGTATATAGGACAAAAAGCTAACGACTGTAGGAACCGTAATGGTAAAGGTGTGGGGTCTTACTGGATGATGGAAACAACTGGCAAGGGAAACTAAAGGTAATTGTCTTTCTCTGAACTAAGTATTGTTAGCCCAAGAAACTCGGTCATACCGATGTAGGTTGGACGTTCTATTTATTCTAATTGGTAATAAAACTTATTGTGGGCGATGTAGGTTTCTTTGTTCTAAATGCCTTGTAGTATTTTAATTTATAGTGTTTGTCATTTGTCAACGCCATCTCATTACTGGGTATTGAAACTTCTTGCAGTTCGTCTTACTATCATTTGCTATGACGATGCTAATCTTCTCGCTATCGATTGTTGTGGCGATGTTAGTGCGATGAGTTAGATGTCGCTACGTATCAGTCGCCACAATGCCTTTAACACGTTATGGTTCCCAACACTGCGGAATGAGTGTCTTCTTCTAAGCAATAGAATCGTCACAGTTATCTAGCCCGCCACCTACCCTACCGCTAAAATTGGCATCTTTATTAATTTAACAAAATAGTCATCATGCGGTATCTATTGGATGTTACCTGTGCTGTCAATGGGAAGTATTTAAAAAAAAGTAAAAAGTACCTCACTAGATGGCAACTCTAGCAAAAGTTGATTTTTGCAAGAAACGAATGGACCAAAGATAGTCATATCCTTTTTTTTTTAACCAACATATTAAAAAACTGAAATTCTCAAAGTTCAAAACTTAGATATCAATACAAATACGAAAAAATATAAATAGAATATGAGTTGTTTATTAAGTTATGAAAATTATTTACTTTTATACCTGATAGAAAATCGGAAGAGTTGTCATGGAGAAATAAAGAAAATACCATAGCAACATCTAGTTTGGTTTCGGGAACTAATGTGTTTTGAAATACTTCCTCATCAAACGAAATTGTAGGTCTTGAATACCCTGCCAAGTACAAGATTTATTGCAGCTCCCAAAAATATATAGATATTTATACAAATATATAAAGGAAACGCTTTAATATATTTATGTATAATTATCTCAAAATAAAGACACGGCTGAAGAAGCCAAGGCCGGTAAAACCTTTCGGAAATAATGTTATCAAATTCAAAACTGTATGTATGTATTCAAATTCAAAACTGACAATGTTCCCGCTATTGATGTGACTCGAGTAGGATTTTATGACTCGAGTTAAGTACCTAACTCGAGTCATAATCGAGTATTTCAGTCGCTCGAGAAAAAAAATTCAAACGTGCTACTCGAGTGAGATTTCTCTTAGTAAGTTTAAACAAAATCATACCCGGTGGAACAAAACGACGGATACACCCGAGGTTCCTGGAGAGTACTATTTGTCTTTAATATGATGTAAAAAGTTTTTGGAAAAAATGAGTGTTTTCAACCCTTAGTCAGCTGTTTTTGGGACGTACTAAGGAACAAGTTTTTAATCGGTCATTGACTTCTTCATTTCTAAAAATTCTACCAGACAATCTAGTGATTGTATTCTAGTGATTGTCTGGTAGAATTTGCACGAAAGCGGTCTTATTAATCAAAAACTAGTTTATTCCTTTTTTGTGTAGTAACAAGGCAGTCAAAATGCTTAATTTGATTAACAGACAAACAGCCGGTTTCTGGTTTGAAAAAAGCAGAAAATCTATAGTGATTATTCGCAATAACCTAAGTTTTTTGCGTTTTTCCAGTCAAAAAGTTCTAGTTTTAAACTGCTAACAACTGATCATCAAAAAACTAAAATTGTTGGTTTGAGACGTTTAACTTTAAATTCTCAATTCATATAAATACATTCATAACATTTGATTCATCATTAACACAAATGTACTTTGTTTAAAAACATTGAGGAATTTGTTATTAATATAGTATTTAAATAATTGCATTTAAAAAGAACATTAAAAATGCGTGATAGCAAAAGACGAATTAAAAAAGGTGTAACCGAGTTCGTCCCTGGATATCAAAGCCCCGCCCACCTGCCAGCCGCTAGGCGGCTCCATGTTTCTGTCGTAATTTTTCCTTTGCTCAGTCGCCGCCGACCGTTTGCGCTGTAGTGTTGTTGCGCATCACCGCTACGAAGCGCCTTTTTTTGTCGATTTGTGTTTTGTTTTAGTGCATTTTAAACGGAATTTTTGTCAATAAGATACGATAGTGTTCGTCTTGAGTGTTTAAGTTTAGTTTAGTGAAGATTGTGTTTAGTTTTGTGTGAAAGGTGATGTGTTTTGCGCGTTCATGCACCGGCATGACATTTTCAGCATCGACTATCATCAAGATATCGGTAAATAATTAATTAATAATAAGGACTAATTAATAGTATTCCTGTTGATCTAATTTGATCTAATTTAGATCAACAGGAATACGTGGAGATATTACTAAAGAAATGGAGAATGCAGGACTATAAGCCAGTAGCCAATTCCCTAGTGGCTGGTCAAAGATTAACGAAACCGTCTAGTAAAAATCATGTGTCACCGGATGTTCCTTATCAGGAACTAATTGGTTCGTTAATGTTTCTAGCAGTGTCTACAACAGTGGATATTTCTTATGATGTAAGTTATTTAAGTCAGTTCAACAATTGCTGCACAGAAGAACATTATCAAGCGGCAAAACCTGTACTTAAGTACCTAAGCAGTACAAAACATTCTCGGTTAACAGTTACCAAAGCACAATAGGGTATAGAAGGTTTTGTCGATGCTGACCACGGGGGTGATCTTGTCGATAGGAAGTCGTATTCAGGGTATATCTTCAAATATGCAAATTCCGCAATAAGTTGGGAAAGCAAAAAACAAGGAGTTGTAGCTCTCTCAAGTGCCGAAGCGGAATATATTGCATTGTCAAATGCAACAAGAGAAGGGGTGTACTTGAAGAGATTGGTGGAGGAATTGAATTCATCTGAGTGTTCTCCCATACCAATGCTTTGTGATAGTCAACAGCAATTGCTATTGCAAACGCAAGTCATTATCATGCACGTATCGAACACATTGACGTCAGAGTTCGTTTTGTGAATGATATCTTAGAAAAAGGTATTATTCAGTTGTTCTTTCTGAAAGGTGAACATATACCAGCCGATTTTTTAACTAAAAGCTCACCTAAATCTAAACATGTTCTGCGGATTAGTGTGAATTTAAAGTAAGTTTGTTTTTCTGATGTGAGGAATGTTTGTGTGCATGAAAGAGGTTGATGAAATTAATAGTTGCGCGTTAGTTGATTTAAGGAGGAGTGTTGGATCCTAGGTTGGATGGTGTCTGGTCTATGGTATAAAGAGTAAATCAATTTGACGCAACATTCATTTTTTTACTTGCTTTTGTTTTCTCTTCACAAAATATATTAACTGTACAACAATCCTGATTTTATTACTTTTTTTACTTGGTATCTACAATTTAATATCACCTACTGGTGATATCACAACCCCTGGTTTTCTTTCACGTATAAAAGTAAATTAGTTTTCAAAACTCAATAACCAACTCATATTCTACTTGTACTGTTTCATATTTGTATTGATATCTAAGTTTTGAACTTTACAAATTTCAGTTTTTTAATATGTTACATAAAAGGAACGGAAATTTTTGTCTTTGGTCCATTCATTTCCTGCAAAAATTAACTTTTGCTAGAGTCGCCATCTAGTGGAGGTGCTTTTTTAGTGCATCCTTTTTTTTTAATACTTCCTCATTCAACCAATGACGAGGCAGTATGGTCTACGATCTTAGCCTGTCCGAAAAGGTACAAAATATATATTAAAAAAAGTATGTCTGTATGGCATATGTATAAGTGCCTTTGCCTTTCCATTTTGTAGCAAATGGAAGAAGGAGAACAAAAAAAAAAGTATGTCATTTATGTTACCTTAAGGTCATGGCAGGGGGGGCACACTTAGAAGAAAGTGTTTACGCTTAGAAACTAGCGCCATCTATGAACATGTACACAAACTTTTACATTTAGCAAAAGTTCACTAGATGTCAGTGCAATCAGCGTTAAATGTCATATCAAACGTCAACAAAGAAAAAACATGGCAGACAGAATCGATTGTTGTGCGGTGCGCCTGCGATTAATCTGTTTTGTTTGTTACATCTTGTAATTTCACGTTTAGAAGTTACATTTGTGCAAAACCTTTCCAAGCTAGTACGTTGAGTTGAGTATCATTCTCCTCCGTATATTTGACCAGTGTGAGACAGGACTCCTTTCGTGTTAGTTAAATAGTGAGTGTTTGGCGACATTTGGACGCAGTGATAGTTTAGTGTGTGTTGTGTAGTTATAATTAGTGTTTTAATATGCCTCCACGGTGCTTTCTTGGATGCCCAAGTGGTAAGTAGTATTTGATAAAGATTATAACCTGCGCAGACGACGGACTTCTCCGCCGACATACTAACCTAAAAGTGGAAACATTTCTGCGAATGCAACGTAAACGAAGATTGTTCTGCCCATGAAGCTCTTCCTGCCTCCTTGCTAGACCTTTACGAATAAAATAACCGTCGTATGTTTTGAACAAATGACGAAAGATACCACTTTTTAGTCCGGCGGACAAAAGTCCCTCGTCTGCGCAGACCGTTAATAACTATTTTCTTGCGGACACCATACTTTGTAAGGCCATCTAACTTTGTGACTTGTGAGTTTGAAACAGAGAACTCCATGTGAGCACTGTCTTAAGATAAATGTGCACATGCCACCAACCTTTTGTACATGTCTATCATGACATATCATTCATCACCATCACCAGCCCTTTTACGTCCCCACTGCAGGGGCTCAGGCCTTCCTTATGGATGGTTAAGGAGGATGGGCCATGAGCCTCCACGCT